GACAAGGATACCCAAAACGGGGGGGGGGGGGGGGGCTGAGCATGGAGCAGCGCGGCGGAGGTGAGGGGGCCGGGGCTCAGGGTGCCCCCACTTGTAGGCGATGCGGTCCGGCGGGAAGGTGGCATTCCACGGACGCCCCCGGTCCGTGGAAGGAGCGGACAGTGGTGGGTGGGCCCGGGGGGGACTCCGGGGCTTTCAGTCCCGGCAGGGGAACTCGTGATCCCAGGCCGGATCCCGCTTGACTGGTCTCCGGAGTTTGAGTGTGTGTGTTGGGGGGACTTTCCCCAACTCTCCAACCCCCAACCCCGAGGTCAGAGAGTTGGGACCTGGGCCAGACTCGCCCCAGGCCCTGGCGCGGCCCCAGGCCCCAGAACCCCCAGCCCAGTGCCGGGGTGGGGGGCGCAGGGGGTCTGTGTACCATAGCGATAGGTCAGGGCGTGCTGGGGGGGAACCGGGGGTTCGTTTTTCCCACAACCACAAACGCATTTCTCAAAATGGAGCCGCTTGCCCCTCCTTCTCTCTTGGGCCTCGAGAGCGGGAGCCGGGCTGGCTAGGCCTGGCTTTCCAGACTCCTGGCCCTCAGAGCCCGGCTTTACGTCTCTCTGGCTTTGGGGGCCCTTGCCTGCGTGGCTTCTGCGACCCTAACTCCGGGGTCGGCCTCTGGCTCCTCGTGTCTGGGTCTCTTGGCCTCTTTGTCTCTTGACTTGTGTCTGTCTCTGGCTGCAGCGGCCCTTGCCCTCTTCCTTCGGGCTCTCACTTTCTGGGTACCCTGGAGTGGGAAGTGGGAACAGCCGTGCCAGCCCTTTCCCACTCTGCCCTCCATCCTGTGGAGCGATCTCTACCCCCGGGCCGGACCTTGTGGGGGCAATCTCAGCTCCTGGCTCTACAGAGAAATGTGTGATTGCTCCTCGAATCTCTAGTTCGCTCACTACCCTGGCTCGCAGTAACTCCTCCCTCAGGCTGGACTTCTGTGATTTCTCAGTCTTAACACTTAGGGACACTTGATGGAGGACAACATAGAAAGACCAGACGGGGTAATGGGGTCAGATACTGTGAGCTCACCTTTCCTCACACCCTTAAGTTTAAAAAAAAAAAAAAAAAAAAAAAGGATTTTAAAAAGGGGGAGGGACTTCCATCCACCTAGGTGGTCTTGAATATCACCCAGGTCCCACCCCACCCCCAGAAATGCTCACTCATTACAAGTCACTCCAAATGTGCCTTTCACACACCTTCCTGTTCACACACTTGTGTAAGATAGACACAGTAATTGGTGGAACTGTCCCGGCAGAAATGAAGGTGCCCTACAGAGACACTGTCTCTCAATCTATGAGAGGCTTGAAATGCACCCCTAGGGATTTCATCCTGAGAGAAGAAAATGGCTTCTTGAGGATGGGTGACTTCACCTGACTTGGGACATAGACAGTGACCCCAAGTTTGGTGATATTCACACAAAAACTCACATATATGTGGACAAACTGGTATTATCTGCGAAAACATTTTTTTTTGTCATATAGTCAACATTCAGACCCCATAGGTTCATTTATTACATATACATTAGTAACTTTTGTATGCTTTCTTAGTAATAAAACTCAGTCTTGTAAGACATAAGAATTCACACATACAGCTGGCCGTGGTGGCACAGGTTTAGAATCCTAGCCCTCTGAAAGCTGAGGCAGGAGGATCCATGAGTTTGAGGCCTGCCTGTGTACATAGCACAGCCTTGTTTCATTTATGTTCCCCACATCACACACACATACATGTACGGATGTACTGACACCTGTCTAAACACACGTCTACTCAATGCGTATTTTCATCCACATTTTCACAAATACTGCTCATTTTTATGCTTCTGTAGGTGTGCTCACACCCACAAGTAAATGCACACACTCTTACGGAATTCTCTGTTCACTTCTTGGCCCCTGCTCCACATGATGACTTCAGCAGATGCCTAAGTCTTGGTCATCAGCAGCCTTGGGACTGGGAGGGAGTTCCGGGTTGGAGGCTTGCTGTCCCTTCAGCAGCCTTGGGACTGGGAGGGAGTTCCGGGTTGGAGGCTTGCTGTCCCTTCCGGGAAGGAGCTGGACTGGGGAGGTGGAGCCAGCTTACTTGAGATCCTACCAGAGGTGGTGGAGCCCCATAGGGGTTACTCTGAAGAGTAACGGAAGCAGGAAGGTTTGTGAAGGTTGACACTTGGCCGGGGCCTGTGTAGGCTCCCTTAGTCCTGAGTGGATGGCAGAAGCTAGGAGTTGTCATGGAAACAAGCATAGCCAGCATCAACCTCTGGGAGGTAGGAGACCCCAGAGGGCACCTGTGGGTTCCTGAGACCTGTGAGCTTTCCTGTTTGGCCAGCTCCACCCTTGCCGCCTCCGTGTCTGGGAGAAACTGAGGCCCAGCAGTGGGAGGCTGGACACCGCCTGGCTGTGGCTCTTTGTTCCCTAATTACCATCTGAGTTGGTGATGGCATCCCTGACGTGTTCTCTGCCCAAACAGCCCAGTAACGAGGCCACCTGTCCCAGGAGAGTAGGGCTTGTACTGGGAGCTAGTAGTTAGGGATCTCTGCCCAGTCCGAGTCTTGGCCTTTAGAGGGGATGCGGGTTAGGGCTTAAGACTGGGTCTTCCCTGCCAGGGAACCTGCATGGCCTCCTGGGTCCCCTATTCCTTCATCATCTCTGGCCGAATTATTCCTTAGCCTTGTCCAGACTAGAGCTGGGTAGTGAGTGGTGTAGGGCCCAGGGAAAACTGAGCTTCCTGCCAGTTCCTGGAGAGGAAGCCTTGTTACTATGTTGGGAGTGTGCTGCCTGGAGGAGGGGGTCAGGAGCAGGCCTGTGGGGGAGAGAACTCAAGGTGCAGGGGCTCTGACACCAATGCCCTGCTCACAGGTTGCCCTGGAGGCCCCTGGCCAGGCCTGAGGCTCTGCCACCATGGCCATTGTACACACACTGCCAGTGCCACTGGAGCCCGCACGTGAGACAGCCACTGCCCCACAAGCTCCAGCCATGGGCAGCGTGAGCAGTCTTATCTCGGGCCGGCCCTGTCCCGGGGGATCTGCTCCTCCACGCCACCATGGTGTCCCTGGGCCCACCTTCTTCCGCCAGCAGGATGGGCTGCTACGGGGTGGCTACGAGGCACAGGAACCACTCTGCCCAGCTGTGCCACCCAGGAAGGCTGTCCCAGGCACCAGCTTTACCTATATCAATGAGGACTTCCGGACAGAGTCACCTCCCAGCCCCAGCAGTGACGTTGAAGACCCGAGAGAGCAGCGGGCACACAATGCCCACCTCCGTGGGCCCCCACCAAAGCTCATCCCTGTCTCTGGGAAGCTGGAGAAGGTAAGGGCCAGCCCGTTTGGGAGGGTCTGGGTGGAACCAGGAGCCCCTTAGGGAAGCTAGAATTTGGAAGCACATATAGAGCAAAGAATGTGGACTGTCTCTGAGCCCCATTTTCTGTGTCTGGATAGTTAAGGTTATAGGCTAATCTTCGTAGGTTCCTGTTAGAATTAGTACTTAGCATAGTACCCAGAACCTTCAAGTGAACGATACGATACTAGTTGCTTTGATTATTTTTTTTATTTTTTTGGGTTTTTTTTTTTTTTTTTTTTTGAGACAGGCTTTCTCTACATAGCCCTGGCTATCCTGGAACTCACTATGTAGACCAGGCTGGCCTCCAGATATCTGCCTGCTTCTGCCTCCTCAGTGCTGGGATTAAAGGCGTGTACCACCATGCCTAGCCAATTGCTTCAGCTGTGATTACACAGATGTGTGTCTTTGGGCAAAGCCTTTAACTTTACTGGGGCCTCTATTTCCTCAATTTTTAATATGAGAAGAGGATTGTATTTTGCTTGCATGGCTCTTGCAATGATTAAAAATGAGCATTTTGAATTACTTAACATAAGTGGACATTTAGAAGGCCTATTGTTAGTGGGAGCAATTGTTTTTAACTTACAGGGGTGGAGGAGCCTGTGTGGGCAGGTGGAAAGTCTGACAGGGTTTTGAAAGATCAAGGCTTGGGGCTTGAGGAGATGGCTCAGTGGGTAAGATGTGTTGCTGCACACGTGTGAGGATCTGAGTTCAGATCCCCAGGACCCAAGTAAAGAGCTGGGTATTACGGTACAGGACTGTGATCTCGGCACTTGTGAGGCAGAGACACTCAGATCCCTGGGGCTTGCTGGCCGGTCAGACTGGCTGAATTGGTGAGCTCCAGGATCAGTCAGAGACTGTTTCAAAAATTAGGGGGGAAGTAAGTGAGGAAGGCTCCTGACTTTGACATCTGGCCTCCACACACAGACACCTGTGTGCACACATGCACATGTTCATACACACACACACACACACACACACACACACACACACACACACAGACAAACATTGATTAGCATTTGGAAAGGTCAAGCAAGCTGGGCTTGGTAGCTCACACTGTAATCCCACTTCTTAAAAGGCAGAAGACTTTGCTTGTCTTCAGGGCTAGCCCTAGGGGTACATAGTGAGTTCCAGGCCAGTAGAGTAAAACCCTGCCTCAAACCAACAACAAAACTAAAAACTAAAAACAGAAAAAAGAGAAAGAAAGTGATTGTGCAGAGCCTCCTCACTGTCACGTGGTACCTCATTTCAGAACATGGAGAAAATCCTGATCCGGCCAACAGCCTTCAAGCCAGTGCTACCCAAACCTCGGGGGGCACCATCCCTACCTGGCTTCCTGGGTCCTCGAGCTGCTGGGCTATCTGGGAGTCAGGGAAGCCTGACACAGCTGTTTGGGGGGCCCGCCTCCTCTTCCTCGTCTTCTTCCTCCTCCTCTGCTGCTGACAAACCCTTGGCACTGAGTGGCTGGGCCAGTGGCTGCCCATCGGGAACACTGTCAGACTCTGGCCGAAATTCTTTATCCAGCTTGCCCACCTACAGCACCGGAGGTGCTGAGCCGACCACCAGCTCTCCAGGTGGGCACCTGCCCTCCCACGGCCCTGGCCGAGGGGCACTGCCCGGTCCAGCCCGAGGGGTCCCTACTGGGCCCTCCCACTCGGACAGTGGCCGATCCTCCTCCAGCAAAAGCACAGGTTCCTTGGGGGGCCGTGTCGCTGGGGGCCTCTTGGGCAGTGGTGCCCGGGCCTCCCCGGGCAGCAGTTCGGGTGGAGACCGCTCTCCGCCCCCTCCACCCCCTCCGCCCCCCTCGGATGAGGCCTTGCTACACTGTGTCCTGGAAGGGAAGCTTCGAGACCGAGAGGCAGAGCTGCAGCAGCTTCGGGACAGTATGGATGAGAGCGAGGTTACCGTGTGTCAGGTGCGGCCCAAGGCAGTCCCGGGGTGGTGCGGTATAGCATCTGGAGGCCTAGGAACAATGCATGGAGCATTGCTTTGGGGGAGGGAGAGGATGAAGACCCATTGTGTGACACCCCCACGGTAGTTAGCTTAACCTTCAAAGGAGTAAGGAGGTAGGGTTTGTGAATTGGGTCCGGCGCTGGCTCGGAGCATCTGTTACACTTGAGAAAGTCACTTAACCTCGCAAACCCCAGTTTCCCTGTCTAAATGGGGATAGCTCGGACTTCCTAGGCAGGCTATGAGATTAAATAAGGTGGAAGGTATAAAGCGCCTAGAATAATGCTGACACCTAGGAAATGATGTATCCGTGGTTGCTTTTACTATTGTAGTATACTGAATGTGTGTGCTCCGCCCTCCGCCAACCCAGGCAGGGAACCACCCAAGCCGGGAGGCTGGAGCTCAGGATCTGGGGGGCCCTGAAGGTTTCCAGCCTGCCTTCTTTCTCTAGGCGTTCGGAGCGCGGCAGAGGCACTGGCCACGAGAGCGGGAGGACTGCGCAGCGCAGGCGCAGCAGGCCACGCAGCGTGTCCAGCGGGCCCAACAGCTGCTGCAGCTGCAGGTGTTCCAGCTGCAGCAAGAGAAGCGCCAGTTGCAGGATGACTTCGCACAGCTGCTTGAGGAGCGAGAGCAGCTGGAGCGTCGCTGTGCTACCTTTGAGCGGGAGCAGCGGGAACTCGGGCCGCGGCTGGAGGAGACCAAATGGGAGGTATGCGAGGTTAGGTGCTGGGCAGGCTGGAGGGGTCCCACGGGGCCACACTCTGCAGACGTGGCCCGGGGTCGCTACCCTAGGGGGTCTGCCCTTCCACGTCTTTCTGGGTTGGGGTTTCCTTGTGCCTCCTCTGTGTTGGAACTCCCTGGTCTGATCTGGTGCCCACAGAGCTAGTGGCATTCATTGCCTTCCCTATTAGGTGGGTACTGTTAATAAATACCCCCCCCCCAAAAAAAAAAAAAAAAAAAAA